CTCTCTCATCTCCTCTCCTCTCTCTCTCTCTCTCATCTCTCTCTCTCTCTCTCTCTCTCCACCCCACCACCCCCCCCCCCCCCCCCACCCCCCCCCCCCCCACCCAACCCCCCCCCCCAAGAACCATCTCTCTTCTCTCTCACTCTCTCTCTTCTCCTCTCTCTCCTCCCTCTCTCTCTCTCTCTCTCTCTCTCTCCCTCTCTCTCTCTCTCTCTCTCTCTCTCTCTATCTCTCTCTCTCTCTCTCTCTCTCTCTCTCTCTCCGTCTCCTTCTCTCTCCCTCTCTCTCTCTCTCTCTCTCTCTCTCCTCTCTCTCTCTCTCTCTCGCTCTCTCTCCTCTCTCTCTCTCTCTCTCTCTCTCTCTCTCTCTCTCTCTCTCTCGCTCTCTCTCTCCTCTCTCTCTCATCTTCTCTCTCTCTCTCTCCTCTCTCTCTCTCTCGGGTCTCTCTCTCTCTCTCTTCGGGGTCCTCTTCTTCTTCCCTCGCCTCTTGCCCTCTGATGCTGTCGATCACAAAATGGCCGCCCAAATGCAAACGGACAGCGATAGAGGAAGTGAGGGAGAGTGTGGGCAGCGTGAGGGAGTGAGGGGCAGCGTGAAGGAGGTAGAGATAGAAATGGGTGTGGATATGTGATAATTAAGAGAGAGAGAGAGAGAGAGAGAGAGAGAGAGAGAGAGAGAGAGGAGAGAGAGAGAGAGAGAGAGAGAGGAGAGGAGAGAGAGAGAGAGAGAGAAGGTAGATTTTATTATAACTGTAAGCTCTCTCGCTCCTTCCTCACTTCTAACTTCTCTCTTTCATTCTCACTCTTTCATTCTCACTCTTTCACTCTCACTCCCACACTCTCACTCCCTCACTCTCACTCCCTCACTCTCGATCCCTTACTCTCACTCCTCTGATATTTAAACTTACACCTAATGTTCTACCAGATGTGAGCATACTAACACTAACATTTCAACTGCTCGCTCCACACTGTGTTTGATGTCTGGTCACTAGATATGTATTGACCTTTGCCTGAGGTGGTTCCCAGGATCAATGTCCTTGCGGCCCGGTCTCTGACCAGGCCTCCTGGTTGGTGGTCTGGTTAACCAGGCTGTTAAATGCAGCTCCTTGCAGTCCGATGTATGCATCACACAGCCCGGTTGATCAGTTATCCTGTAGAGGTGCGGGTCGAACCTGGGTCCAATCGGTTGAACGTCGGCTGAGCTGACTCCTGGGGCCAGATTCACGAAGCAGTTACGCAAGTACTTACAAACGTGTACATCTTTCCTCAATCTTTGACGGTTTTGGTTACATTTATTAGACAATTTACAAGTATGAAAACTTTCCAATCAACTGTTGTTGTTATAAACAGCCTCCTGGTGCTTCGGAGCTCATTACCTGTTTAATAATTGCAAACAAAGCCGCCAAATATTGAGAAAAGATATACAGGTTCGTAAGTGCTTGCCGAACTGCTTCATGAATCTGGCTTCTGGGCCACAGGGAGCTGAGGCCGACTTCAGAATTGTTCATGAAGCTGGATCAGTTAAGTCTTGACTGGAATAAGAGGTTCAGTCAGATTGGGAGGAGTGACTTTGTCCGAGTGGACAACGGTTTTCGACAGTCCTTTAGAGATAGAGTAAATCATGCTGTAATGTAGGCCTTGGGCCAGACACTGGAACCGGTTAGGAAGTCGTACTCTGGGATCAGGTACTAGAACCGGTTAAGTCATTATTAGGCGTGGAGCTAATTACTGAAACCAGCTAGGTTATTGGACCATGTGGTCAGGTAATGGAACCAATTCGGTTATACACTGCCGTGTCGCGTGTGTGTGTGTGTGTGTGTGTGTGTGTGTGTGTGTGTGTGTGTGTGTGTGTGTGTGTGTGTGTGTATTAGGATCTGCTCTCCAAACAGAAGCCCAGAAAACAGAGTTTAGTGTCACTCCACACATGACTCTTGGATTCACCCATTGACTGGGCAACCCGTTCTCGCAAATTCGTAAAGTCAATATTGACTTATAACTACGTGCATAGGTGATATACTAAACATAATAGATACCCCTAAGAAGATTCGTAGAAAACACCGACCTTACCTAACCTTGTTAGTATCTTAAGATAAGCATCTTATTGCTTCGTAATTACAATTATTACTTAACCTATACCTATTACAGGTTAGGTAATAATTGTAATTACGAAGCAATAAGATGCTTATCTTAAGATACTAACAAGGTTAGGTAAGGTCGGTGTTTTCTATGAATCTTTTTAAGGGTATCTATTATGTTAAGTATGTCACCTATGCACATATTTAATAAGTCAATATTGACTTATTAAATTTGCGAGAACGGGTTGGACTGGGGCCAACTTGTGACGTGATTCAACAAGATATTTGCTACAAAGCCAAAAAAATTTCCGAAGCTGCACTGCGGTTCAGGCAGGTGTGAGAGACAGGTCAGGGCGTGCTACTCTTTGTGGGGATGTTACTGTCACAGTGTTCATATACACGACTGAGTTAGTACAAAGAGTTAGGGGGAACATGATCACCACATACAAGTTTCTCAAAAGAATTGATAGGGTAGATAAAGTCAGGCTATTTAACACAAGGGGCACACACACACTAGGGGAATCATTTGGAAATTGAGTACCCAAATGAGCCACAGAGATATTAGAAGAGAAGTATTTTTAGTGTCAGAATAGTTGACAAATGGAATGTATTAGGAAGTGACGTGGTGGATGGAGGCTGACTCCATACGCAGTTTCAAGTGTAGATATGATAGAGCCCAATAGGCTCAGGAACCTGTACACCTGACACAGTACCGCATAAGAGGCTGGTACATAAGCTGGAGAGACAGGCAGGTGTAGCTGGTAAGGTGCTCCAGTGGATAAGGGAGTATCTAAGCAATAGGAAGCAGAGAGTTACGGTGAGGGGTGAGACCTCCGATTGGCGTGAAGTCACCAGTGGAGTCCCACAGGGCTCTGTACTCGGTCCTATCTTGTTTCTGATATATGTAAATGATCTCCCGGAGGGTATCGATTCATTTCTCTCAATGTTTGCGGACGATGCTAAAATTATGAGAAGGATTAAAACAGAAGAGGACTGTTTTGAGGCTTCAAGAAGACCTAGACAAGCTGAAGGAATGGTCGAACAAATGGTTGTTAGAGTTTAACCCAACCAAATGTAATGTAATGAAGATAGGTGTAGGGAGCAGGAGGCCAGATACAAGGTATCATCTGGGAGAGGAAATTCTTCAGGAGTCAGAGAAGGAAAAAGACTTGGGGGTTGATATCACGCCAGACCTGTCTCCTGCAGCACATATCAAGCGGATAACATCAGCGGCATATGCCAGGCTGGCCAACATACGAACGGCATTCAGAAACTTGTGTAAAGAATCATTCAGAACTTTGTATACCACATATGTCAGGCCAATCCTGGAGTATGCAGCCCCAGCATGGAGTCCATATCTAGTCAAGGATAAGACTAAACTGGAAAAGGTTCAAAGGTTTGCCACCAGACTAGTACCCGAGCTGAGAGGTATGAGCTACGAGGAGAGACTACGGGAATTAAACCTCACTTCGCTGGAAGACAGAAGAGTTAGGGGGGACATGATCACCACATTCAAGATTCTGAAGGGGATTGATAGGGTAGATAAAGACAGTCTATTTAACACAAGGGGAACACGCACAAGGGGACACAGGTGGAAACTGAGTGCCCAAATGAGCCACAGAGATATTAGAAAGAACTTTTTTAGTGTCAGAGTGGTTGACAAATGGAATGCATTAGGGGGTGATGTGGTGGAGGCTGACTCCATACACAGTTTCAAGTGTAGATATGACAGAGCCCGATAGGCTCAGGAATCTGTACACCTGTTGATTGACGGTTGAGAGGCGGGACCAAAGAGCCAGAGCTCAACCCCCGCAAACACAACTAGGTGAGTACAACTAGGTGAGTACCTGTTGATTGACAGTTGTGAGGCGGGACCAAAGAACCAAAGCTCAACCCCCGCAAGTACAACTAGGTAAGTACCAGTACACTTAGCCAGGTTAGTACACCAGTACACTCAGCTTGGTTAAGACATCAGGGAACTCAGGATAGGACACGAATACTCTCAGGTTAGGTAACCTAACCTCAGTTAGGTTACACTAATGAGACCATTGGTGTATTCCTCAATACATCAATACACTCCTTTTGAATTAGAATACCAACACACTCAGCTCGACTGAAGAGTGAAGGGAATAAGTGGCAATAAAGTGGCTGAGAATTTACCAACTTAACCCACGTATACACAACTCCATAATCTTGAAACACTTGAAAACACTTCTTGGTCTTCAGAACACTTGAAACGTCAACACTTTTTTTTTCATGAGATAATTGAGTTATGGACAAATAACCCAACATTTGACAAATATTTAGGGATTCGAAAGTTTTTATTTTTTATTTTTAATACCGGGATCTGTGTTGACAATTTTAAAAGAGGTCGAAACCCACAGGACTATAAACGACGAGATAAGGAGGGAGGGAGAATCTGACACGACTTAATAACAAAACCAGGGGTTTATCACGCGGCTTTGAAAAGTCTGCGATCCCCTTTACTGGAGGAGACGAATGCTCTACTGTGCTCGGGACACACTTGCAAATGGAATTACATTTTGCTCTTCTGACTTCGTAATGGAGCTGTTAAAATCCTTATCAGGACCGCTCTTCACCCCCTTTCCCTTTCCCCGCCCTTCGTTCGCATGAACTACGATGAGAGAACGGTGTGTTCTTGGACCGAGACGAGAGAACTTGCGTCCCCCGCGCCCGGGAGAACTTGCGTCCTCCGCGTTCAAGAGAACTTGCCTCCTCCGCGCCCGGGAGAACTTACGTTCTCCGCGTTCAAGAGAACTTGCGTTCTCCGCGTTCGGGAGAACTTGCGTTCTCCGCGTCCGGGAGAACTTGCATCCTCCGCAAGACGCTCATTGCTGTAGCAAAATATCAGATCTATAGACAAAAGTGAAGAAAGTTTCTTTCCTTCAACTTGTCTAGCGTGTTGATGTTGGCCGCCATCTTTGTTTACATCGACGCTCACCTCATCGTCAAAGAACGACAACCAGACAAAGTACCACTTAAATATTACAGGCACCTCAGGACCACCGGGACGACCCCTGCACAGTCTCAGGACCACTGGGACGACCCCTGCACAGTCTCAGGACCACTGGGACGACCCCTGCACAGCCTCAGGACCACTGGGACGACCCCTGCACAGTCTCAGGACCACTGGGACGACCCCTGCACAGTCTCAGGACCACTGGGACGACCCCTGCACAGCCTCAGGACCACTGAGACGACCCCCTGCACAGCCTCAGGACCACTGGGACGACCCCTGCACAGCCTCAGGACCACTGAGACGACCCCTGCACAGCCTCAGGACCACTGGGACGACCCCCTGCACAGCCTCAGGACCACTGGGACGACCCCTGCACAGTCTCAGGACCACTGGGACGACCCCTGCACAGTCTCAGGACCACTGGGACGACCCCTGCACAGCCTCAGGACCACTGGGACGACCCCTGCACAGTCTCAGGACCACTGGGACGACCCCTGCACAGCCTCAGGACCACTGGGACGACCCCTGCACAGTCTCAGGACCACTGGGACGACCCCTGCACAGTCTCAGGACCACTGGGACGACCCCTGCACAGCCTCAGGACCACTGAGACGACCCCCTGCACAGCCTCAGGACCACTGGGACGACCCCTGCACAGCCTCAGGACCACTGAGACGACCCCTGCGCAGCCTCAGGTCCACTGGGACGACCCCTGCACAGCCTCAGGACCACTGAGACGACCCCCTGCACAGCCTCAGGACCACTGGGACGACCCCTGCACAGCCTCAGGACCACTGAGACGACCCCTGCGCAGCCTCAGGACCACTGGGACGACCCCTGCACAGACAAGCTCAGACGACCCAGGCACAAACAACAAGTAACAGACGTCAACAAACAAGGAACATAACGCACAATCTTCTCTCATTCGTCACTCCGAGACTCGACATTCCTCACCAGGAAGACCAGAAGGTTGACCTTGTAGTTCAAGACATGTGTGTGGCATCAAGGATGACTGTCTGGATGACAGTCTCCTCCTTGAAGGAAATCCGTGTCCTCCTCCACCGCCTTCATTTCCCGCGCGTCTTGAAGTGCTACATGGAGGACGACTTGGAGATCCCCCTTGAATACTCTTTGTTTTACCTTCTCCCAGGTCTCTGAAGGTCAGCCCGATTCTTCCATAAGTTTGCGTAAAGTTCGCAAAGTTTCTCGAGCTTGTCCACTAAGTTGGGCTCCCTCGAGGGAGGTATTTCACAAGGAGTGGGAAGAACTTCTGCGATGATTGATTCAGAGGAGTACATGCACAGTAGCTGGAGACCTGTGCGGCTTATAGACAGTAGCTGGAGACCTGTCCGGCTTATAGACAGTAGCTGGAGACCTGTCCGGCTTATAGACAGTAGCTGGAGACCTGTCCGGCTTATAGACAGTAAGAGCGACTGGAAATAGAGCAACCATTTCACTTTATAGTCCCCGAACGTTTAACTTACAGGGTACTACGAAATGTTGAACTTTCGAGAATCTTGAAATATTCCACAACCCAGTTTACATTAGGTCTGCATACTTGAAGTGTATCTAGGGTATACCTTGAGTGGGATTTGGAGGGGGGGGGAGTGCTTTCCTACTTCTCCCCAGCCTGGGGCCAGACTTGACTTGTGATACCTTGGTCCAACAGGCTGTTGCATGGAGCGACCCGCAGGCCCACATATTCATTTACAACCGCGGTTGGTCCGCCGCGTGTGGCTGAAACGTGTCTTAATTTTGCCTTGAAGACGTCCTCCTTTGTTCCAGCAATATGCCTCACATAACTCAATAAAAAGATGTAGAGCAACCCATGATAATATGATTCTGAATTTCTATATTGTTTGAACTCACTTTCGTGAGTTCAAAACTACGTGACTGTCATACATGGCAACATGAGTGACGCGTGTGTGTGTGTGTGTGTGTGTGTGTGTGTGTCGTACATACGCACACGTGGAACTACGGATGTTCACGAAGAAATCCCATTAACGTGAAGTATCAGTGAGAAAATCAATATTCCTCCTCATGGATCCTTCTGATTTTCTAAGTAGAAATATCTTTTCCCAGACCTCTCTCTCTCTCTCTCTCTCTCTCTCTCTCTCTCTCTCTCTCTCTCTCTCTCTCTCTCTCTCTCTCTTCTCTCTCTCTCTCTCTCTCTCTCTCTCCCTCTCTCTCTCTCCCTCTCTCTCTCCCTCTCCTTCTCCTCCTCCCCAACTCCCTCACAATAAGCTAGCAATAGGTAGCAAGCGACTACGCCTCGACCGTGGGGTATGCAACAATGGGTATTGATGTTGCTTTATGCGCCGTGTTTACCTCTTGCATATGACCCGGCCTGCCTTATGCCCGCTTTGTTCTGCTTCACCGGGAAAATATTGTAACCTGTGTGGCCCTTTTTCCCCTCTCACCCCTTACCCCCCCCCTCCCCCTCCTCCTCCTCACCTGCAGGTACACCTCAAGGAGGGGATCGAGGGAAAATTGGATTCAACTGAGGGGAAAAGAGGGGGCATGGGGTCAGCACCCCCCTCATTTACTGGGTAGGTGCATCATGGGGTGAAGTGAACTTGAGGGAATGGGGACTAAGAGTCAACTCCTAAGAGGTACACTTTGTACCTAAGTGTACAGAGAGTACACACAAGAGGTACACTGGAACAGAGGCGACGGGTGGAAGGGGGGGGGGTGCAGAAAGAGTACGCTTGGGAAAGGTGCACCCTGGAAGAACATCAGAGAGAAGGTGGGGTGGAAGGGGTGATACAGATGATGTACCTTCTGGGGTATACATGGTTGTGGGGAGACATTCCCCTCGGGGCCGTACCTGATGACGGGGGAGGTGGGTGCAGGTCGCAGGAGGGGGAGGGGGGAGGGGAAGGGGAGGGGGAGAAGGCTTCCCAGTAGGGGAACACAAATGACATAAACACTGAGATTCACCATAAGAGTAACCCTTATAAAGGGTACCGTAATGATACACTCAGGAAGGGGGCGTGCATCCTTCCTAATACCACATGCACACTCCATTCATCACCCCCACCATCCCTCCGACCCCACCATTCACACCATTGATATACACTCCCCATTCTAATCATTGATTCGACCATTCTCATGCCCACCAGCAATACCCATAGCTCCCATTAGGTATATACCCCTGTTGCCTGTGTGGATTTTTTTATTCTCCATAACTAAAATTTCCTGCAACGTTATCACTCTGCAATGACTGATGGCTTAACAATGTCAGTTCAGGTTGAGCTTAGATAAGAGCAATGGGTCCAGGAACAAGGCGCACTGGGTCGAGCCAGGACCTTCTCTGAGGTATTCCTTAACGACAGGGAGTCTTCCAAGTAGCTACCAAGATGGTCGCTGCCTGGTGCTTGGTTCTGCCATGGAAATGCTGCGTTCCCTCTCTCTTTACTGACTAAACCCACGAAGGTCACAAAGGTCCTCGTGATATCATAACACTACTCGTATCATTGGTTCCCATTACAGACCAAACCAGGTAGGTTTTAGTCCAGTACTAAAGGTGATAGGCTTCAGTGCACACAGTGCACTTGTCTTGTGCACTCTGGGCACTTGGAGTTAATTTCCCTATTTCAGTGCATGTATAGATTCTTTGTAATAGGTCACTTGACGTCGGTGGTGGAAACTCGGAGACTATTCTCTCGCATCAGTTATTATTATGCCAAAATTCCCATTATTGGTCTTCCATCCCCCTATCCCAATCATTAATACCACAATCCCCAATTTCAACCAGTGATATATTACCCTGTCCTCTTAAAAATAACGTCCCTTTTGGCCGTTTACCCGTGTGGCCGAAAGTGGACGTAATTTGAAAATGAAAAAACATGAAAATAAATTTGAGATTTTTTTTCAACAATAGAGTCCTCTGATAGATTAGGTGGGCAGGAAATTCTTATAAAGTTTCAAAACGTTATGAAAAACGTTAATTGAAAGTTTCCTCTCCTAACTTTTCCCAGTAAGTCGGACGACTCAAACAGAAAACGGGACAGTATGTCACTTTTGTGAGCCGATTTCATTTCAAATTACGTCCAAATTTGGCCATAGCGCGCATACGAGCCAAAAGCGACGTTATTTTTAAGAGGACGGGTCGCAGTGGTACGCTTGTCCTCCAGTTCCAACATTAACATCACCGTCCCCCATTTACATCATTGATAACCCTAACACTATCCCCCCCCCCCCACCAAGGACTTTCCCCAAACAATCATCCCAAACATCACATTAATCGTGAATTATAACACCAATGCTTGGAGTAACACTCAACAAAGTTAATGACATCTATGAAACAAAGAGTTTACGCAGACTCAGAAGAAAACAAGTGCAACTACAGCCGAAACTAATCTCCGAGAAATGTAACCAACGCAGCATTACCAAGCAGCTACCGGAAGGTAACGAGAAATGGAAGACTAGATGGGGGGTTAAGGGGGGGTGAGGGGGTGGGGGGTTAAGGGGGATGAGGGGGGTGGGGGGGCAGGAAGGGGTGTCCTTAATGATCAGAGAAGAGCGGAGGTTTGTGGAAATCGATACCTCTTGACGCAAATGGGTTCAGAGATTTAATTTTTTAAGAATGATTCGTGTGATTGGTTATATTACGAAACTAGTATATATTTGTACATGCAATTTGTACTGGTATTTATATGATTTTTTTCAATAATCATTAATTGTATTATATTAAATAGAAACATACAGCCAGTCGAATGAGCTGTAGGGGGCAGCAGCTGTGCCTGACTTTATTTATACTTCCCAGACCAGTTACCGTAAAGCACTATTGCTATAGGTAACCAATAGCAAAAGGGCTGGGGCCCATGAGCTGAAGAACACCCAGTAAGCACCAACATGTGGGAGAACACACACAAAAACGTAATCAATCCCACACAAACACATACAAACACATACAAACACGTACAAACTCGTACAAACACATACAAACTCGTACAAACACATACAAACCCGAGCCTCCTCGTCAACACCTCTCCATCAAGCAGTGTTTAAGAATCCCGACCCGGGACTTAGCCGACTAAGAGAGCCATTGAGCAAGTTTTGACGCCCAGAAAGTTTCACTCACTCTCTTGAATCTTCGTTCTCGTTTATGGCGGCAGAGTTTTGTGAGGACGCAACAAGTGGGGAAGAACGAGGATGCTGCAGTTGTGGTTATCATCATCACTCTTGTTGCTTAATATTTTCTTCGTATCGTTTTCATTCTCTAAAATTGTAAATATAAACAATAATATTACTATAATATTCCTAATATTACTCGGTAGCATAGATGGCTTCGTTCTCGCACTTTCCATCAGGAATCCCAGACGGTTTGGAGACGTTTTTCTTTCTCCTAATGCACCTGTTCACCTAGTAGTAAACCGGTACCCGGGAGGCAGTCAACTGTTGTGGGGTTGCATCCTGTAGTTGGACCTACAGGGAGGACCTCGATATAAACCTAACGTTTATATTATCCATATTGACAGGCTGCCTGTCCCCAACAAAATGACAATTATTATTACCAGAAATATTATATTGCATTAGTGTTAGTAATATTATTACAAACCAATAATAATAGTAGTGAATGTTATTAATAAAATGATAAAACATTATTAGGCTTAATATCAATAAAGACGTGTTTTGAAAAGATAATCACTTGGTATTAAACATGTAACAAATATATTAGTAGGCCTAGTCAACCAGTAGGCCTACTCGTCAACCAGTAAGCCTACTCGTCA